TATGATCGCGTTCGGGTTTCTTCGCTTTTAAATTAAATAAATAATGCATACAATTTGTGCGCAATAAACTTTGGAGGTGTAGGTGGGTAGTCTTTGCGCTGAATTTCGCGCGCCCGCCCCACGGGGAACAATAACGGCTAAAGTGAGCGCTAAAACGATACCTTGTATTTTTATATTATCTTTATCTATTATGGTTTTACGATAAATGGTAGTAAGACTCAATAAATTGTATATTCATCGTAATATTCACGATAAAAGTAATAGCTTTATTTGAAAACTTAGATGTAACCTAATTAAACATACAAACGTAAAGTATTTACAATATTCTTAAACTCCTTAGTAATAATATAAATAATTAAAAATTGATAAATAGAAAGCAAAAATTAAAAAAAGGTTGGTCTCTGTGGCAGCGTACTTTTAATGCTGGCATTTCCTCCTATTGCGATACTTATTCGTTAAATAAGAAACACACCAGCTCTGGTCACCGGTAGTAATGATATATCACCTTGTAAAGGTTGTAGCGCCACTGGTTTCTTATATCACTTTCGTTACTAGTACTGCGATTTCCTGGAACGCCAGTTTTATTCCTGGTGAATAAAACATTGTTGATATGAGTTTACTACTCGTATCAATAAATCAGACGTATCCTCAGCCTCAACTTTAGATTTAAAAAATGTAATTATGTTATTTTTAAATTAAATTATCTACCGTGCCAATTTTACACAATTTTGTAAACGCAATAGTGTTTTTACATATTATGGTTGATATATTTAAATATTGTCTACCAACACCATTTTGAATATTCCTCGAAAACCCTAAATGTTCATTTTCAAGCAACGTATTATGTTATTAGAACTAATTAGTAATTATTTTAAGGCTTATTCTAATCAGACAGCGACATTTTATGACTCCTAGGACCGTATATAAAGGTGTGTTCACATTGGCGTTTACCGAAGCATTGTCGTATTTCCACTTCGAGTTTGAATAGTAGGTACTCCAATGCGGTCATTCCTTTCTGTTGTTAAAATGCTTTCACAGTCATTATAATAAGTTTGTACAGAACGCTGTGTGTCAACATCGGATACAGGTTGATATTGAAAGCCAGAGTGGTGTCCATTGGTAGCGGTAAGCAGTTATTTTAGAGTAACCCTGCTTGTTTGCCTTGTCTCATAAAAAAATAGCTACAATGATCAAAAGGCCCGAAAATGCGCATCACACCGAACAATGCGCTATTTTACACATGAAGGTAAAATAAGAAAATATCAAGATTAGTATACTTATATATTATATACTCGTATTATATCGATTGGAAGTGACCATTAAAATGGAAAAGAAAAATGCAATTCGAAGAGGGAAACGTCCCTCTAACGTGCTCGAAGAAAATTATTACGCCAAAGAAGTATAACTTCTAACGCGTGTGCATAAGTACACACACGTTTTTTTAAAAATAATTACTGTCTTATAGAATTTAAATTTTATTTAGGATTCTCGTCGGTTCGTTAGTTTCTAGGCTGGAAATAGCCGCAGTTAGGCCCAAGGGCTTACAAACTGAGCCAGCTGCCTTAGTTCTCACAATATTAATGTAAAGCTATATTCATACGTGTGTACTCCGTGCCGACAAAAGGCCGAAAACGTATTCGCGAGTGCGTTGCTGGCCGTTTTGGAATCGATATGCTCTGTTTTAAAAGACCCTCTGTCATATTGGTTAATTATAAAAGTAAAAATATATTATAAACTTTAACATTAATACTCACATAGAAGTCATATTTGACTAAGTTTTTTGAAGTTATACTTCTTTAGGCGCGTTATGAAAAATTGATGAGAGTGAAATTTTACGATGCGCGCGCACCGTGACACAAAAATAACAGCAGTTGCCTACGGAAGATGCTACGGCATTGGACATAATTTAAAAACAACATTCGAATAATAATAGAATTTATGTTACACTTAATTTAAGAGAATAATAATAAATATTTATTTATTTAATTTTTCAAATGTAAACTGATCTTTATTGACTATAATGACTCCTTTTCCAGTCTTTGATTATTTAATTGTAATTAATTATTTGCATGCAATCAAAAACTATTTTTAATAATGCCAAAGAAGTATAACTTCTTACGCGCGTACATAAGTACACTCACCCTTTTTTTTTTGTATAGTTAATGTCCCGTTTCGTCCCAAAATCATTCCAGAACCACCTGAATTTCTGGATTTTTTAAACAGTTCACTTTACAACGCATATCTTTCTACGAAATAGTTAATAGTGGGATCCGACTGATTGGGTATCTACGGGCTACGACAGTTTTCTTTTTTTACCGACCCGCAAGCTCCTTTGTAAAAATCCTCCTAGCTCCTCTATAAAAAACCTTAAATAATAGCGAAAAGCTCATACATGGTCGCTATAGACATACCCATAACCCAGTTGAAGAGCCGATCGAATTCAATTAATGCTCCATTAAGGGTACATATCTACATTATATAAATAAACCCCTATAAAGTAACTTTACAGAAGGAGAGATCTTATTTGAAAGGCTAACTAAGCCCATATGTTGAGGTTCATGCGACAACTGATTTAAACCAACCGTGAACCGATTTATGGTGTGATGCTTTGACAACAATATATTAATACTTAGAGTATAGCGCCATCTGTTTTCACCTACTGCAACTAAAAGAGTACAAGTAGATCGCATCAGCAGTAATAATAACAAAAAAGGACGTTTAATCTACGTTCAAGAACTAAATCAAGAATAGGAACTACTTTTTTTTCTAGCTAGGTTTGTCAAATTTTGAATCGAGTGTACATTTCTTAATATCAGTTAAATGAAAATGTAAAGAATATTTTAATGAAGGTCACATTATGATCAAGTTCTTGCGTAATTTTTTTTTTTTATAGAACGGGGGGCAAACGGGCAGGAGGCTCACCTGATGTTAAGTGATACCGCCGCCCATGGACACTCTCAGTGCCAGAGGGCTCGCGAGTGCGTTGCCGGCCTTTTAAGAATTGGTACGCTCTTTACTTGAAGGACCCTAAGACGAATTGGTTCGGAAATACTTCAGTGGGCAGCTGGTTCCACATAGTGGTGGTGCGCGGCAAAAACTGCCTTGAAAAACGCTCAGTTGTGGAACGGCGGACGTCGAGGTGATACGGGTGGAATTTCGTATTCTGTCTCGACGTCCGATGATGAAACTCAGCTGCAGGTATTAATCCGAACAACTCCTCTGAACACTCTCCGTGGTAAATGCGGTAGAAGATGCAGAGTGACCCACATCTCTACGCAACGCCAAAGGATCAAGCCGCTCGGAGAGGGATTGGTCGTCGACGATTCGAACCACTCTGCGTTGTATACGGTCAAGTGGAAGGAGCTGGTACTGGGGAGCCCCTGCCCAGAGGTGAGAGCAGTACTCCATGTGGGGCCGAATTTGCGCTTTATATAGTTGCATGCCGCAGTGAAGTACCGCCTCGCCTTGCTGAGCACACCAAGCTTTTGGAGGCTAATTTAGCCTTTCCCTCCAAGTGACCGCGAAACTGAACGTCGTTCGATATGTCAACGCCAAGTATTCCAATGCTGGCTGTGGCTTTAAGAAGAGTGTTTTCGAAAAGAGGAGTAGCGACAAAGGGTGTTTTTTTAGCGGAAAACGCGCAAACTTGTGTCTTCTTGGGATTAAATTGGACTAGGTTTTATGATAAACTAATCATTGATTGTGTAAATTTATGTTAATTGTGGTAATATGTCTTGTATACTGGGGTGGTGAAAATCCCAAACAGTTCTAAATAAGAAATTAAAGTAACAATAATTATTACAATAACAAGATAACAACAATAGGATTGCGATATAAATAAATAATCTTTCTTCTAAAAGCTTACATAATTGTGATATATGAATAATCTAAAAATGTTATTGCTTATAATCAAGTCAGTTGGTTGCTGATTTTAGAAGTTTAAGATTTTATTTTGCGTAATTGTAGTATCGAATACATTTCGTTCGCTGCCAAGGGACATATTATAACTCTACCACAAAGTTGACACAGCGTAGCTCCGAGGTGCTGTTCGTAGCACCTTATTATATATTTAATCGGAAATACATATAAGGATTAAGGATGTCATTCAAATCATCATTTTGCAATATCTTCATATCTATGGTTCCGAATTGAAATACATCCGCACTCTTCGGGTACTAAATGCTTTGAAAATAGGCTTTAATACGAAGTTCGCCTTTCGTTTCGGTCCGAAACTACGACGTTCGTTTTTCGTAACAGACCTCAAAATCAAGTATGAGTATTCAATACGCTAAGAACAAATCCGCTCTCAATGGCCAGTATGAGAATTATACTTTTTTTAAATTTATGTATGAAAAACTACTTTATGACATTATGACCACGAAAGTTTACCTGCTTACAAAATACCAATGGAAGTAAAATTATTAAATAATTAATAAATAAACAGTTATTTTTAAATGTGTGTAATTTCTTTTTTTTTATACCAAGGGCTCTACTTATAGGATCGCAATAAAAAAAGTAGGAATTGAATCAAAAAGATACATATTAATTTTAATCTTTATTTCTTTTTCCATTTACAAAGGCTGATGATTTATAATTCAAAGTATAGACATCGTAAATTACAATTTGATATTACTCAGACAAAAGTTAAATATTTTTAATACATTCTTGTAATACAATAGCCAATTAGTCAATATAATAACTACTTAAAGAATTTCTTCTACTGGGACCTTGTCTACATACTCAATGGCTAAATAATTGTTTTGATTAGCCAAACTTTACTTGCTATACTATAATATAATCTATGCACTTTCCAAGTTCTTTATCAGATAAGTTACATATTTATACAAGTTGCCAAGCTCAAAGAAGTTATATAATTCCTTTAACAAAAGTAGATCTATAGTGTATTATTGATTTAATAAGTACTGTGTGTTACATTACATTGTGTTATCCCCAACAATGTTAAAACCAGAAGCTGTTGTGTTATAAAGTCCTGGCGTCTTTCATAATAATCTTAAACAATGACACTTCCATTCCAAAAGCACATGCACCAACCTTAGTGCCTCTTTATTTCCAACAAATCTCGAAAATAGTTCAATTCCCTTGGATGAGTGAACAAGAGATTCCATATGTGTTGCCCATATATGAACACATCTATCAAATGATATACTTGCCATGAACTTTCCAACTGGAGAAAAGGGGTTCCGTATGTTTTGTGAGTGTGTGAACACATGCACCTTTCTCCACATCCTAAGGACGCACAGTGGAATAAAGAGGCACTTGCTAATATAAAATTCATGTTGGGGTTCTGAGTCCCTGGGCCAGTGGGTGACCTCTTTGGTGTATACTTCCTTAGAATGAGCTTGTAATTCATGAACACAGGTATCATGCTTCATAGACCAAATCTTAACCGTCATATCCTCAGAACAAGATGCATGGAGCTGTCCTTGGGGATCACATTTGATAGCATTTACTTCATTCTGTAAAATATGCCACATAAGATTATATAAACAAGTATTAACTATATAGAGAAGAATGTATTCAAAAACAGATGTTTTAAAATATAGATATTGAAAAATATTACTTACTGTGTGACCTTACAAAGTCTTTATTGGTTTATCAACATTCAATTTACACACTAGGATCTGGTCCATTGAACAGGATGCAAATTAGGTATTAATTTGTCAATCTACAACTAGGGCTGGTTCAGTATTCAGTGCATTGACCTGAGGCTGCATCCCAGATTATAGTTGTGCTGTCAACCTGAAATATAAAAAGTTATAATTTTCTGGTTATCATTATAATACAATGACTCTAACATAAGTATCATACAGAGGGTTCAAAATTACATATTGAAACAAATATCCAACTGTCCGTGGTTTATAAAAACATTGGAGATTCATGAGCACCTCAAAATCAGGACTGTCAAAGAGAAGATCAACCCCTGGAGTATGAAATACAGAAAAAGGCTAGAAATGCATCCTAATAAGCTTGCCACGCAACTAACCATACCGGACCTAATAAATAGGCTTAAAAGGCGACAAATCCTAAGTCTTGATAGACACGGTTGAAAAAGAGGAGCAGTCTCGATGGAGATTTTGCTCTGAACGCCTAACAGCTCTCAACACATCGGCTCATAGTCTAGGTGACTGATTGCAAGATAAAGACTTATATAAAAATAAAAAAGTATATTTTGTATATCTACCAGTTAATCGTCAATTACCCAACTCTTGTTATTTATCATAAAAATAAACTCGATCTGAGTGAAAAACCACTAACTAGAGGCGAATATTAACTAATTCATAACTACATCAGATATTCTACAGAGAACAAGTAATTAATTGTTTTTTTTTAGGTTTTCTCAGTAATAACTTAATCATGGCTTGAGCATCATTTTAACTTAATTTGATTTCCTTCAATATGAAACTAAAAACATTACAATATGTCATGACATGCTAAAGTTATGGCAATTTATATATTTCAAAACTTTAACTCTCATTATCTCGAAACAGGTTTTTTGGACTAATGAGTTTTCGCTCTATGGGGACGATATGCCTAAGTTATTTGCAATAAAATTCTAAAAAGGGTACCCTATTTTAGATTTTTGACAAGCATATCAATAAAAACAGGCACGCCGCACGACGCCAGGAAACCGGCGTTGATAAGCGAAGCGGCGAGCGGTTTAGGAGTTAGTACTTAGTAGTAGTTAGTAATCAAACTACGTCAATATATTATCTAGTCGGTTTTCCATTTTTTCGCAAACGGAACGCGATTTTAGAAATGAGGTACTCAGTGTCTATACGAACTGTCATTTTCATACAAATTTACTTACTACATTCACTAGTGTTAAGGCATCTTGACTATAATAAGATGATTTTGTAGCCATACTGGAGTCTGGATTACTGGCTACGGTTTACTCTTTGTCGCAGAAAGTGTGGCATTTGATTTTTGACGTTGACAATGTAAAAAAGTTTGTCGAGAGACACGTCGTTGTTATTATGTTTTTACTGCTATATTTTTTTTTATACTCTTTGATTCAAAGTATGGAAATAACTAAAAATAGCCATATGTTATTGCTTTAGATAAAAATTTATAGTTTTAAATTGATACCGTCATTCTATGCGAAATTAAGTACTTGGAATCCGGTACCTACGCATATTTTAAAGTAAATTGTCGGTTTTTTGATTTTGTGTAAACAGCCAACATATATTTTTTAAATTTATGTGTCGAATCATAAAAATATAAGTCATAAATAGACTATCAGCTATGTAGTTACGTAGCAAATTATTCGTAGCTAGTTTGGCTGCTAACACCATGGCGGTTCCTAAATATCAACAGCTGCCGGTGAATTCTGAACTAGATGAAAGTATATTGGAAAGCAAACCCAGAGGAAAATGGTCTGATGTGTGTTTCCAAAAGGGGCTTCTGTCTCTGGGTTTGATTTTATTATATTTTTCTTTATCAATTGGCCTTACATTTTATCAGAGATGGCTTTTAAAGGTTTGTACCATCAATTTCATAGTTTTTATCAATATCTTTACTTCCCTTTACTTTTAAATTCATGAGTTTTATATAAATCCATTAAAATATATATTTAGATAATTATTGGTTAAAAGATAAAATTCCACATAATATGATTTATTTCAGTATGTGATATATTTACAGTTGCCATAATCAAGGTTTCACTTATAAATTTCTTATATTTTTATTTTCAGGATTTTCATTTTCCGCTTACAGTTGTTATGTATCACTTAATAGTAAAGTGGCTTTTATCTGTGTGTGTCCGTTTTGTGGTTGGAATCATTACTGGTCAACCACAACTTGTTCTTCCATTTATCACCTGCCTTAGATCTGTAGGACCTACAGGCCTAGCAAGTGGGATTGATGTTGGATTTTCTAATTGGGCTCTGGAGCTAGTTACCATATCCCTATATACTATGACAAAGTCAACAACTATAATTTTTATTCTTGGATTTGCTATATTGCTAGGTCTTGAAAAGAAGGTATTAGTTTTTAACATATATCATTCAATATTTTAATCGTATTGGTTTTGTACTCATTGTAAAGTAATCTTATCTTTAAGTAATATAATATTTTATTATACGAAATTAAAAATCAATGGATTAAAACTTTGATGTAGATGCACAGATCTTTAACAGATAAATCAGAAATCAATTACATAAATAAAAATTAGTTTGAATAGTAAATACAACTAAGTTATAACATAATTTTATAAATACGGTATCGGTTTAGAATTTTCAAAATACACAAGAATAGTATAAGAGAGATTGAATCATTAGTTTCGTAAATGTACTCCTCATCATATACGGTTTTCTTATGACTGGATATTCTTTTTCAGTCATGGTCACTAGTTGGGATCGTACTAACAATTGCAACTGGACTCATCATGTTTACATACAATGCAACACAATTTAACTTGATGGGTTTTGATTTCCTGCTCCTGGCGTCTTTTGCTGGGGGTCTACGTTGGACATTCGCTCAGCTCCTCATGCAGAAATCTAAACTTGGCTTACATAACCCAGTAGATATGGTATTTCATGTTCAACCTTGGATGTTCTTTTCTCTACTTCCGTTTATGCTTGCTTTTGAAGGTGAATATTACATACTCTTAATCTATTTTATGTCTAAATTTATAGTATATACTATATTCTCAGAAGTTTATCTGAATATTTGTGTATTTTTTCATCAATAATATATGTTTTCAATCTACCAACAAAAACTGCCCAACAGGTTTGACTGGGGTTGTATATCAAAATTTCACAGAATAATAGATTTTAGATAAAGTAGATTTATTTATTTCACCAAATAAGATAAAATATGAGAAAGAAAACCTATACTTATCTAAAACAAAAGTATTTTCAAACAATATATTTGATAATTATCAATTTATAAAATCTGATGGCATTATTAATTTTTGTCTTTATACTAATTCAAAGAAAATTGTTTTTTGATTGGTAGCAAAAATCAGGTTTTTAATGATCTTGTCTGTAATTGAAATAATATCATAATCATTATATTACACATTAATTTTTCCAGGATTCAAGTGTTTTGAAAAAGTAATTGCGCTGGCACCCGGAGAATTGTTCCCAACTGTACTTAAAGTCACAGTTGGAGCAACCATAGCATTTGCAATGGAAATTAGTGAATTTCTTGTTGTAACATACACATCTAGTCTGACTCTATCAATTGCTGGTATAATTAAGGTAAGTAACTCACATATTTTAATGAAAGTGTATCAATTATTTTATTACATTATTTAACTAAATTTTGTTTATAAGGAATCTGCCATTGAACAATCTAAATAATACAAATTTCCTTTTTTATGAACCCCTAATTTAGATTGAAGCTATTTCATTGAAGCTATACTTCATAGAGGCATATAGTTTACCTGAACTGTACACAATCAAAATTAGGATAAAATATCAAAATAATTTGTACTTATTTTTCAGGAATTGTGTATTCTAGTCTTAGCGGTAGAAGTGAGTGGCGACCAACTAAGCCCCATAAATGTTGTTGGTTTAGTTGTCTGCTTGATGGGTATCAGTGGACATATAATACACAAGGTTTTGGTAATTAGAAGAGTGGCTGGTACAGTTCGCATCTTAGAAGATGACGATTTTGTAAATATCGGCAAGACTAGAGCACCTAAGGCGAAAGAAAGGAGTGAACCATTGTTAGAAAATCAGAAATGGCAAGAAGCTAGCGATGAAAGTGATATAGACAGTAGTCTTGTCATATATGAAATCATGCAGAGGCGAGATGGTAGTTAAAAGCATCACAGGTGAATCGTTTATGAATAATATTTATTCCCACTGGCAATGAAACTATTTTAGTGATAAAGATTGTATTTAAAGCATATTATACCATGAAGACAATATTTTTAATATGATCGTATTTGAAAGCCCCTAATACAGTATATAGCATCTTCATCAATTTAAGAATAAGGAATGCCTTTTACAATATTAATTTATTGTTGGTTGCCTTAAGAGTGACATATTTTTTTATAAATCGATACATTTACAAAGACATCATTAAATTAAATATCAAAGTATAAATATTATTGGGCTATTAGATATATGTAATTTTAATAAACGATTTCTCGCATCTAGTCTAGGCCAAGAAATACATGTGAGTATTATATTAAAGCATATGCTTTTAATGTGCTATGTACTTTAAATTCAAATCATTCCAATTTATAGTAGGTAATAAAAAGTATTGTTTTTCTTTATGTTATTGTTTATTTATTTGTTTAGATGAGTTATTTAGTGTGGTTCGAAAGTATTGTGGCACATAAGGCTGTATTCCACTTTTACCTACAGCCTCTTGTGAGTTTAATAATTAGGTAAAGATAGTCTACACTTCATTCTTGCCTTTCGGCTGGGTTTCCTAATCTAAAATTTTAAAAATTGTCATTTTCTTGACCTGTTGGCAACAAAAAGTTAGACGAACAAACACATTCTTGCATTTAAAGGTTGTATAGGTGGTTGTAAGAAAATAAAGAGTAATAAATAGTAATACTATTAATAAAATAATAATCAAGAAGGTTGCCCTCGATTTCCGAAACCTAATAATTCCCTTACTATGCTATTTCTAAATATTTCTTCTTTCTTTAATTTTATAATGTATAAATTTGTTAATAATTTTAAGTTACAGGGTATAAACATAATATTGTTATGTATTAGTTTCGATTTAACGCAGATTTAATGAACAGTTTGTATTTATAATGTTGTTTTTTAGTTGTATAAGGGTGTATAACATTGTATTCAAGAGAGGTGAAGCATAATTTTTTTAAATACGCTTATCACAGCAGAAGAATTAAAATATAGCCTCTACGATAACATATTTGGCAATTATAATAGGATGGTACGATTCGTCAGGTTATAAAATAAGAAGAAATTCACGCACATTTAAGTGGGTTTCCGGGTTTTGAAGATATTTTGAAAACCCAGAAGGCAAAATATCTTTTGCTTTTTGTAACTTTTACCATATTTTGTATAAAAAAAACTTTTACAGTTGCTTTTTTGTTAGTCAAATTATAAGGCTCCCATAAAATAATAGTTATTTAAATAGTAGTGGACCTAAATTTTATTATACTTGTTCAACGTTTAACACCACATCCATGATGACTTCCAGTAACAGTAGAAAATACTTAACTTGCCTAAGAATTGCGTATGTAAAAACTTAAATTTATTAGAAAATGATTATTATTTATTTTCCAAACAAAATTATCAGCAAATGGCTTATACTTATCGGTTAGATTAAATATACACTAAACATGTTTTATAATGTTTGATATAAATTTTGTATACAATTTAACGAAGTGATGTATATACGATATACTTGTGGGTCTTATAGCGGTCCTTCACTGGATAAATTTGCCGGCAATACTAATTATTAATAAAAATATTTGGCCCAAGAAATCCACCACATAGGGCCATTCCTCACCGAGATGCCATGGCGACGTGGCCAGCGACGTTACCGTCTACGGCTACGTCTGGCGGCCCTGGGTCGCCAGACTGAGTCGCCAATGCATTCAGTTCTGTCTCGACTCAAAAATCAAAATCAAAAAATAAATTATAATAAAATTATCAATAAAATAATAATTATTATTTACGCTGGCCATAGACGGACCGCATATTGCAGCTGAGACCGACAGCTCTAGAGCGGTCGCCGCACGGCGATCTGCAGTTTCCATACTAAATTCATATCCGCAATACACGGACCGCTCGAGCAGTTCCTGAGCGGTCGGAGCAGTCGCTCTGCGGTAGAGTTTCGCCGTGCGGTCGACTGCTTAGAGCTGCCGGAACCATCATGAACGGACTGCCGACCGCGCGCCACTTCCCTCCCGCTCCCCGCTAAGTACCAGGCATGTCGGTGAGGTATGGCCCTTAGTTTAAACGGTGAAAAAAAGCAATTTTCTATTACGTACTGATAAAATTAGCGGAACTGCCTTAAATACGCCATGGTAGGGACCGCCTTGAAATCCTTATCACGTTGTAAAAGCAATTCAATTATATTAAATTTAATATACATGATGAAGTGTTTTAATTATATTGCCTTTGAATGTTACCTACCTTATATAATTCATTGAAATTACCACCCTCTCCATTTAGGTAGAAAACAAGTACTACATTTATTAATGGTTTGAAACGTGCTATTACTTTGTTAATTATAGGTAGTGAAAAAATACGAAGGTAAGACTTTCTGAAATGTGTGTAGCCTGAATGTGTATATCCTTGAAACGGTCAGACCTATAACGTAACATTCGATAAACAATGGACAAATATGAAATTCGTTTAAAGTTCACCAATTAATTTACAAAATTATTACGAAAGGTAACAAAGTGTTTTCAAAAATTAATTCTTGAGATCTATGGCAAGACTCAATTCTGACGGAGTTTTTGCATTCAGTTGTCCACTCAATCTAAATAGACGGCCATTAAGGGATGTTGCAGCTTCCATTTTTCTCAGAAATACATTTTTAGAGCTAGTATTTAATGTTTTTTCAGTCAAAGTTTTAGTTGACTCTGAATCCAAAGAATTTATTATGGAATCTGCGTCGGTATTTAAATTAATGATGTTGGTTTGTGACTCCTCGCGCCACAACTTTTGTAGATTTAACGCCATGAGCTCTAACTGTACTTGAGACAATTCTCGGATAACGTCTATCTGAACTGACATCACATTGTCACAAGTTTTCAATAAGGAATTTAATGCTTCTAATACATCTGCTCTTCTTTTTTGTATGCTGTATTGATTATCAATGTTTTTTTCGAAGAACGCTAAATGCTCATAAAGTTCTGCTAACTGTAAGGAACACGATATATATTGCGAAGGATGTTGTTCAAAGTCATAGTAATGCTTGGCTCTCATCAGCCATTTATGTACGAAAGCAAAAAGTACCCGAGCATCTTCCGAAGTCTTTATTATGTCCACTGGAACTCTTTTTTCAATGTCTTTTAGATCTAACGAAGGAAATGTGAAAATGTTATCATTAGAATAATCTCCATTTGCGTTTTTCTCGGCGCCACTATCTTTTTCGTTTTCCTCGGGAACTTTAGTGTTTTCAGTGTGCTCTTCAAGGATATTCATATTTTTCCAAAGATCAGCTTTTGATGGGGGTTGCATAAAATATTTGGATAAAAGTTTTTTTCGTGAAATATTAAAGAGTGCCAAACCATATTTTACCCAATGGTGGCTTAATTCAAGAAAATTCATTTCGAAATCGGCTTTCTGAATAACAAATTCTTCAGGCATTAACTTACAATTGTCGTGACAGGTACGCAAAACATGGTATGCTGCACACAGATGATGTCTGGCATGGCATAGTTTGTTAAGATATGTAAAGAAATTACCTAACCTCGCAGTTCTAAGAGCCCAGTCTTGAGGAGTACCTTCCTTCATTTCTAACTGTCTCCTCAATACCAAATGATTGTACAATGTATATTTGTTAGGAACATTTAATTTGTTATATAGAAAGGCTTGCATCTGTAAATTATTGGTTATTACTTTATCAATCTTTTCGGGATTTATTCGTTTAATTTTATTAATTGGTTCGATGGTAAATAAATCTTCAGCATCTATAAATGTATCTGGCTTGCAGTCGTTTATTTTGTCATATAGCTCTTCTATGCTTTCTAGAATTTCTCGTGCTAAAGATGTTTGATCCAGTTGTATGAGATAATAACAAAGCAAATTTTGTATTCTAAGTAGTATAAATAGACACTCTTCACGAAAGGCATGAGGCTTTATTTTATCAAAAGCCGTCTGAAGAATGTTTCGTTTCTCTATTAGGGAAATTGGCAAAGATTTAGCTGTTAATAGCGCTAAATATGCTTCCATAGCTAAAGATCTTATGAACTGAGCATGATTTTCTTTACCTAATACGCTGAGTTCTGTTTGTAAATATTGAATATCTTTCTTTAAATTTGGCAATCTTTCGCATGAGTGCTTATTTCTTACAATGTTCTTCACGTCTTCGAAGGTGCGCGCTATGCGATCTAAAATTGTATCACTATCCATTTTCCAAAACTCAAAATTTATTTATATTTTTCCAAATTTGTAAGACTCGATTTTTTTTCTATTAAATTTAGAAGTTACATGTCAAATTTAAATGTATTTTCATCTAGAACGATAATTCAAACTCGGCAACCTCTACCAGAAATAATTTACGAAAGGAGGCTTAAATTTTCACATCAAAATTTCCACTAACCGTGTTTTGTCGGTTTCTACTACGAATGTTTGTATATACCAACTGAAATTCTGAACCCACTTGGAGTACTCTAAACAATGAAAATAACAATTGTTTTTCAAAAAAAAACAATCCAGATGAAAAGAAATAAAACAGTATAAAAACGCTATTCAAAAATAATCGAATCGGAAATTCAAAAAAATAACACGCACTATTTTTAAGATATCAATTGATAAATTCAACTTTAAAGTTCAAATCTATTTAAGGAACTTCAGGATACATCTGATTACTATGGTTGGACCCAGGGCCATAACAACAATAATTGCAATTCTTTCATATGTTCGAAAGTAACATGACCTGTGAGGTCAACGGATCGCCCCTTTTAATAAAAAAAAACTGATCACTGTTACAGCTTTTAAAACACAGTTTCAAAAATTTTATCGATATAAATTCCTTAAAAGAATAGGTTGTGTATCCAACAAAATTGGGCCTTGGGATTTTAGTTAACCCGTTTTTGGTTCTTACGTCTATATTTTAGCCCTCGTTCAGTTTTCATCATTTATAGTCTGTGGTTTGTGATTCATGTATTGCGCATACAGGTCGCGCATGCCTAGGTCTATGTTTGCTAGGCGATATTGGTAAAACTTCTATAGATAGGTATGCTCAGCATTTGAAAATCAATAAATACAATTGTCAGGGTTTACCTACGAGTTCGTAACAACGTCTTTATTGGAATTACGGTCACACCTTACCTTTGGGACAAGTATTGACGTGTATTTAAGAATGGATTTACCATTTCCAGTCTTGAGGCCTCATTTCACATTTCCGGAGTGGTTTAACGCGGATAATCCTTGTGATGAAGACGCAGAATTAACAAAGCTAGAACAAGCACATCAGCGCACGGTAAGGAAGTAGATAGACACACAAAACTATCTGCAAGAAAATAATTTACAAATAGTTTCGAGCAATGCACCTTCGAATACTGTAATCGATAATCGAGAATTTGTGATAATAAGTATACGCAATATTTTTTTATCTTTTTTGGAGTTTATGGCCTGGTATACGCAATATAGGAGTCACTACTACAGATTAATACAAAATATATTCTACTAAAGAAATTAACATTATTACCAGTAAAAAAAATAACACTTTTACAATACTTATATATTTTTACTTATATTTTATTTTTTTGAAGTGAAACTTCTTTATCGAGGTTGGAAAAAAATTTAGTGTAACATTTTTTCGTTACGCGTCACATTTTTCGGTTACGCGCCATGTTGCTTTTTGAAGTCAAACTTCTTTATCGGCGTTGGAATGAAACTTCTTTATCGACGTATGGGAGAAATTTTGTAGCAAATCGTCACGCTTTTCAATGATAGTAATAATTCTATTACAATTAATGAAATTCGATAATAATCTTCGTAGTAAAAAGGTAAAATGAAATATTTGTATTCATGTCTATGATAATAAAAGCCTTTTGTTAAACTTTATCTAATTTAATGAATTTCTGTAAAGTTGCATATAGTAGATCATTTTTCGAAAAATAAGATCATAAAGAAGTTTCACTTCTTACGTGTGTACACCTAGTACACGCACAATTTATTTTTACTAACAAAAGCGAAATACAGTTGTAATATATATTTTTATGATGTACATTCATTTTAACGGACGTTGCGTCCTTTTTATAGACCGACCGAATCGGCGCTGTCACTGTATTCAATTTCAATGACGGCCATTACAACAAGCACTAAGGCCTAATACCTAAACGAGTGTACCTACGTTTAATTTTACGAACGTATTGTACTACCACTACCTATTTATCGATATTTGCTTTAATGTGACGGGATTCCCCAGTTGCACTCTTTGCCTCATATGCTAGAAGATATATCATAGAAGATATTTCTATGGATTATATAGATGCATTATAACGACCGTAGGTCATTATAATGCAAAATAAGACAGAACACGCGGGAAAACATTTAAATATCAGATCCTTAAAAAAAGGAAACACAAGATATTACATCTTTGTGTTTTTATATATGTCGCAGCCAACTAGCTTAATTAGCCGTTCAATTAACAGCCTAGCATTTTAACTAAACGGCGCCGTTTAATTACCGGCCTGAAAGATATTCAGCCGTAGCGTTTGTTATATAGCATTTTTTACATTTAATAAACTGGCTGGCTAATGCTTAGGCCATTCGCACGATAGAGTCATTATTTGGCAGAAATAAAAAAGATGAAACATATGACATAAAAAATATTTCTTTTAAAATTAAATTGCTTGAGTCACACTCACATTATTATTGTGACTACACTCTTTCATTGTACTTGTTATTTTTCATGCAACTATGGAAAACATCATCAAATTTGTGGTTTGCCGAAGCCATATTGACAGTTTGAAGAGTTTCGTTTTAAGTTTGAGTGAGAGAGTGGCAGAAATTGAAATTAAATTATAATTAACAGTCAACAGGTTAGGCAAGTAATAAAACGTCATCGATCCAAGTCATTTGCCTAGATATTGATCAGGCTGAACATCTAGCCGCTAGTTAAACGGCTGCACTGTTAATTTAACGGCTAATTAAGCTAGTTGGCTGCGACATATATACAGCGTCAAAAGTTTATGAATTTTGATTCACACTGGTGTAACCCTTAAAAATACTTATTTAATATGTTATTTAAGACTTAACTTTCGTTATTATAATAAAATAAGAATAATAACAACATCATCTTTTTCTAGTTGACCTCATATACGAAACGTTGTGTAAAACATGCTCCGGTGCAGAAGCCCGAATCCGAACCAGTAGAGGAAGTAGAGACAGAGTATGAGGGTGGTAAGTTGGTAAAATAATGACAATACCAATGACTTGAAATAAAAAGAATACACAAAACTCGCATTTAAGCTTTTACATTTAGATATAAAGTTAAATGAAATATGATTGATTTTGCAAGATATACCTAAATATATTCACTTCTCTTGTATTTGATTACCCGCATATTTTAAGAAAATATTACGTGAAGATTTTCTAAATGTTCGCTTTTAATACAAGAAAGTATACACAAAAGTGTGCTTCTACTACTTATATCGTATAAACAACAATCTATATAATTATTTAAGGCAATGAAGACGCCGAAGAGTCGGAAGACTCTCATGACGTTGATGAAGATGAACAAATAACAACAGCAGATTCTCCCGACTTTACTATAACGGATCAAGAACAAATCATTCATGACGATGACTTCATACCAGACGTTGAAGTGATCGAAGGAAATATTTGGCCATATAACATTCCTGATCAGTAAAAATGTAAAAATCGATATTTACCGATTCCGTTGCCCTATCAAAAACGTTAATTTAGCTAATGTTAATATTATCATATATGTTATTATTCCTGTTATTGTATTTGTTAGTAGCTTGATTATTTGAATAGATAGTTCTTTACTCTGTCGTAAGGTTTTATATATTGCTCCTATGAATTTTATTAAAGTGATTTTTTAAATTCATTTGACTAAACTCGTCTACTACTTGTCAAGGTTTCGCTTTGTAGGCCGATTCCTTTAAAATGCTTATCAAATATGGTTATATCAATAATAGTAGATCAAGTTAAACAGTAGGTACTCAAGGAATCCAGTAATTTACTTTGTATGGATATTTTTTTTTTCCATTTCTAGAGTAGTTATTGTACTGTATAGGTTAAATATGTTACTGTTATTTGTTGTAGGTAATTGTATCTTATCCATATGTAATAAAGCTCTGTGCACTTTTTTATTCTTACTGAAATCACCGAGCGTCAAAGGACAATCCTTAAAAGTAAATCGTTTTTTAACGTCATTAATTAAACATATTCCATTTTTATTATCTTCGTAGGTGAAGTGTAAATCAATGTAATTAAAGCAAAAAAGTATCACTCAGACAGCGCCATAAACTACAGCCTTGGTTAGAATCGGTCACTGTGTTCATTTGATGTAAAATATAGGTAAATTAGCATATCGCGGACACTAACATTTTTTTAACAGAAACGAAGTTACGAACTCGATTTTTATTCATAATATACCATAGAATAATTTAGGATTAACACAACAGAACAAGTGCAGTAAACATGAACACGATGGCGGATGATAGAACTTAAACATATGAAATTTTAGTCATCTATGAGTTGAAAACATAATATACCACTTAAACCTCTTGAGGAAGAACCCTTACCACCTATGTGAAGCTTAATTCCTTTAAGTTCTTCGAGGCTCTTTTCATTCACCACGTCAGGAGGGCATTCACAATCTGCTTTTTTCTTTTGTCCATGCTTTTCGTGACATAGACAGAACAGTTTTCCATATTTATCTCGATCGCTTTGTATAACGTAACTTAGAGCTTCTTCAAAACTCATTTCTGGTTCAGGCACTTTTGGTACGCTAATTATTTTGAATCCAGACATGTTTTGTGTTAAATCTGATTTCATTCTTCTTATTTGGTCTTCATCAATCAAAAACATTGGGTCGAATTCTTCCTGAGGTACTGAAGGACATTCACAAATATGTTGTTTATCTTTCTTTTTGTTCTTTTTCTTCTCATTAAAGTCAGGGTTTGAGGTAATTTCATAGATAGGTCTTGGCGGTGTAAGTTTTTCCAAATTTTTACTTTTTGATGCGTGTCGCTCACAAGGACATTGCCTTTTTAATTCTTCTTTACTGCGAGAACCACAGGATATGCAATCGTGGCTTTTAGATGACTGTTGAAGGTTTGCGTTTTCTGAAATTTTTTAAACCGTAAGTTTTCCCTTTATGATGCAAGTTAAATATGGTTCTCTGATCTTTGAAAATAAAATTTCTTTTATAAAGAGCAGCAGTTCCACATTATTCTTAAACTTATTTTCAGTAAGGACAAGACTTAACAATACTTACTCATAATCGGTTTAACCACTTTAGTGTCAATTCTTTCAGTGGAAGTACCACAAGACTTTGAGGCAAGATCTCTCCCAATTTTTTCTAAAATTTCTTTAAGTTGTTCAAAATTGCATTCGCATTGTTTACTAGAAGTTGGTATTTGATTTAAATTTGAATTTAATGGCGAATTTGGAATATGTTGTGTAGGAGGTGCAGAAAAATTTCCACAAGATGGTGTTTTACAAAGTCGTACTGGTGTTTGATTTGGACCCAAGCTTTTTGTTCTATAAGAGATATCCTTCTTTCTTATCATTTCATGACAGCATTCATAATTTTCACGATTTAAACCTAAAAGTAACGTGACTATTATTATTTAATTTATTCAAAAAGATTTACAGTAATTTATTTTATAGTATAGAGATTAATTATGGTTACTATATATAAGATTGGGATATTTGTGATACACAATCGTGGATCGTATGCGTCAGTAGTGTAATCTACATTTCAGCAATGACCTTTCTTTTGACACTAAAATAATTACGTCCCATAAGGAGAAAAATAGAGACACTATTATTACGCATACTATATTTCACTATTTCTTTGTAAAAATACTTGGATTTAAATCGTCATTGGCTTTTTATAAAAAGAAATCGTTCCGGGGCTCGATTCCGGACTAAACGAATATAAAAAAAAATTGTTTTGGACTTCAAAAAAGGTTAATATCTAAAACCTTTACCTTGTGATAAGGCATCATTATTGATGAAAGGAATCACTAATTCTGATATTACATTTGTCATTTCTGTTTTTTGTAAAGGCTTTTCATTAACGACATCACAACAACAGGGCCGATCTTCAGTAGTGTCAGTACAAATTTCTTTACATCCCTTCATCTTAAGTCCATCTGGCTTAATGGTTACTAGTTCTCCCGGAACTCTGTGCCTTTCAGTTAATTTGTTTCTGCCTTTTGCAGATATCTTGAAGCCATGTAACTTTTTCGGTTTACTTTGTAGGAATTCACCTTAAAATATGAGAGATGCTAGAATTATACTGGGAGATACTACATAATTGCTGCAGCTTACAGCATACATTGGTATAATAACTACAAAATACAATTTTTAATGTGACAAGCACTTAAAGGCAAACATGACATACATGTAGAGATCATACAAATATTAATCAAAACAATTATTAAACAAGACAAACTTAATAAACAATTACTAAGCAAAAAAATTTAAATTACAAAAACTAAACAAAAATCGATTTTAATGTGTGAGGGGTACATAATAGTACAAGGTTTTCTTGTTTACAGCGTAGTCGTCCGTAAGATCTAAAATACCTATAATCTATACATATATGTCTTTTAAAAATATACTTAATACAATAAACAGAAGTAGTAACTCCAATAACTAAGAATTGGTAGCAATCTTTGGTTTGCTTCAATGTGGCTTGCTTGATCAAATTGAATGAAATTATATTAACTTCCAAGGCAAACTTACTATGGTAGCTAGTATCAAAACATCCCTTGCAGGTTACAGGTTTTTCGGAAAGCTGAATGCAAATTGTTGAACTAACTTCACTGTCGCAATATAAACGGGTAGAACTGTTTTCTGATGATGTTGGAAGCAGAACATAAAGCGATGAGTTTTCACTTAAAGCTTGCTGAGATAATATTTTACTTATTATACTCGCTAAATTGGGATGAGTCTTACATGCACAATTATAAATATTATTTATAGTAGATATTCTCTGTATTGTTGGATGGTCATTAAGAATGTTATTGGATCTTAAGTCGGTATCTAAATCAGTGTCGAACGTCGTGGAATGCATTCTGTAACAAATTTTAATTTTATAAAGTTCCATCATAAAATTTCATTAGTTTAATTGGCACATAAGAATATAGGAGCATACTAGCATTCGAGTCGGGTGGCCACACAGTCAAACTTTAAATAGTATGGATTATATCTGTTATATCAATAATTCACACGTTTAACTGACTGATTTGTTTGTGTTTTGTAACAGTACCAATAAAAATTAAAAGTAAAACCCTATTAACCCTAACCCGGCAGCAGCGGTCATGATCCTCATTACGAATCCAGATACGCCCTTAAACCGACGCTTAGGCGCCCTTTGGTTATACGCTTGAATCTAATGAAAACAATATTAATTATCACTAAACAATTATTATTATATGTACAAAACCATACCTTGCAATCCCATAATGTTTCACTTGATCAATAATGTCCAAGTCTGTTATACTCTCATCTGATTGTGAAGAATAGTCCAAAGTTCTTTCAATTAGATATGCAGAATTTGATGAACAATTCGAGACTGTGATGGATATAATGCTTATTGATTTTGAAAGTATGCTTTTATTAGAAGACGAAGAAAAAAGTGTGGATTCAAAAGCATCTATAACTGTTGATATATCAATACTTAGTTTTGAATCATTTGATTCATCCGATGATTTAATAAAAATATAAGTTTCACTTAAGCTTTCACTATAACTGCTAGTATGTTTTAATTGATTTTTTGATTTGATTTTGATTGATTCACTTGAAATAGAAGGAAATTTAGCTTTGTCGTTTTGGTATTTAACCTCCAATTTAGTACTCTCAGTCTTAATATATTCTTTGGACGTATATGAAGGTGCTGCACTTACTTGACCTACTGTGACTTTTATACCTTCATTATCAGTGAATACACCACCTTTTACTCCTGGTACGCATTCGTCAGGACAAGGGCATAACGATGATATATCTGGGGATGTAACTCGTATTTTTACGTAACTATGTTTAAACCTTATTTTTTTTCGATCACAACCACAACCACGGTCACAAGTAGTGGTTTTAATAACATCCTGAAACTCTTCTTTTATGCCTATTTTAGATTTACCAACACCAATTGCTACTTCACTCTTTTTAGCTCTATCGACACCAATTTTCTTCGATTTTGTTTTAATTTTACCTTGTCTTTCAGAAGGTGTGGGCTCAGGAGGAAGGCCCAAAGCAGTGCGAACTTTTTGTATCAACACTTTTTCCGATGGTGTTTTTCCTTCCGGTAAGGGCAAACCAGCATCCGCTAATCCTCTAACAATTTTTTCTTTTTCAGCGATTGACTTTCCCTTTAAAGGCGTTAATAAGCCCTCCTTTTTCGCTTTCTGGAAAGCTTCTCTTTTAGAAGCTGTAATTGGGATGCCGCCTATTTCCCCAATTATTTCAGATTTCTTCTTTGGCACACTTTTACGTATTCGATTAATCAGATCTTTTTCAGACGGTGTACGCCCTTCTGGCAAAGGTAATCCCAGTTTAGCTTGTTCTGTTAAAATATTTTCTTTCTGAGCCATGGTTTTTCCTTCAAGTGGAGTTATTATACCAGCTTCATGGGCTTGATTATATTTCCGTCTTATCGATGATGTTTTTGGT